CACAAAAATCCCATCTATATAAATTTTTATCCTACATCCTTAATACAAACAGCAGACACATTTCTGGAACTTGGGATGTTCACTTAATGGCTGAGGGATTTTTATCACTCAGTTTTGTATTTTTCAAGCACGTAAACTACGCAAAGAAAAAATAAACCAACATAAGAAAAGGAATGTACACCAATTTTGTGTCAGCGTGGGGCATCCAACAGGCACGCCTGCGCTAAGATCGCTGCTGTCAGGGTCACCCACCCCCTGTTTCTGGTGCTGATTTTGAAGTATTTCAGACCTTGCCCTGAGTCACTGGCTCTGTGGAGTGGGTGTTTTTCAAGCTCCTTTCATCAAATGTGAATATGTTTGGGTTTTTTTTTCCCCTTCAAGTAGCTCATTCCTCCTCATTGAGACACGTCCTCAGATGCCCACAAGTGCTGGGATGGTCTTTACGAACAGACGCCACCTTTCCACTACCAACCTGCTCTATTTGGAGTTCCTGGCTGCTTCATACCCCAAAAACCAAATAGGTGCACACCAATGGGGTTCCTGGGCTTGCAGAGCTCTCCACTAGCACATGTCAGGCTGCTGGGAGTTGCAGAAGAAATAGTGTGTGGTTCTTGGACTGATTTGGCTGTCACTGTGCGAGGTTGAGGGGGGAATGAATGAAACCAGAGCATGGAGCCCACACAGCAGCTGCTGAGATTGCTCTTGCCATTTCAGAGCATTCAACGTAAACTCTGCACAGAGAAAACCTCCTGAGAAACCCGGTCCCTGAAGCAGAAAATACTTTCTGGAGGTATATTCAACTGAAGAGACTCCAATCCTCTCCAGGTCTGCCTATCCACTTCAAAAAAGGCTCAAGATGATTAAGAAATCACACCCAGAATTCCCATTTAAAGTGGTTTATGTGTTTTGTCTGAACAGGTTCCTCACCTTCACAGCTGACTTTCTGAAAGAACACTCTATAAACCAAACATCTCCATAGATTACTCAAATTTTCTCAACAAGATTGAGCTTTGAAGACTCTTCTCTACCTCTCCATGTCCACGGTCAGGAGTCCAGCATGATTCACCCCCATCCTGAGACATCTCCTAATGCATTCACCCACACTCACCTGGACAATGACCCCCACTGCCAACCGCCAAGCCCCACTTTACCAGCTTTAAACATCTGCAGCTCTCTGAGATGGTTGTGGCAGCTGCAGAGAGCTCCTCTGTGCCCTCAGTTAAAGATTACACAGTGGATGTGGCAGCCAAGGCAGGCACCAGGTCCAAAGGGACAATATTTCCACTGCTGTCTGACCGATGCATGATGAACTTCTCCCTTCCAGCACTCAGGGAAAATGCAGGTTGTCTCACACTTAGGAAGAAGAAAGGATGGTCCCTTTTGGGCTTCTGCATCTCCTCCAGCTCCACTTTTTGCAGTACTTTGCAACAAAACCACTGAGTTTCAAGAAAACTGAGGCAACATCACAACGGTTCAGTGCTCACAGTCCTCACCTAAGAGCAAAGTGAGGCAAAGGGCTTGTACATGGCCCAGAGAGATACGAGCTGGGAAAGACCACATCTCATCAGCGTGGAGCATCTGTGCAGCTGCAGCAGGATAACATCAACACCCTCATATCAAAAAGCTACAGCCGCAGGAGGGCCATCCCGAGCGCCACACACACGAGCCACGACAGCCGAGAAACACAGCGTCACCTTGTCCAGTTCTCAGTGGCAACCAGAGCTCAGAAAATTTGGGTTCTGTTGCAGTTTTCCCTTGTTCGAGGTCGTACAGCAAAACCGGATATCACTTAAGGCAGAGACGGAAATTAGAGAGAGCTGAAAGCGCACGTCCTGCCTAAACCAAACCGAAATGACTCAGCAGCTACACACAGGGTGGAGAGTTGAGAAATACTGCCTGTATTACCAAGTTCATGTAACTTCCCAAAAAATGCTTTCCTGTAACCCTGGGGACTGTGTGCTCCGAGCACAGAGAGGACACTTGGCACATGTCCCTTGGTGTGGACTTTGGAGTGAGCAGCTGAACCTC